GAGAGAATAAAGACCAAAGAATATGAATTCAAGTAGTTGAGGACACCAAGCTATGTTCTTATGCAGCTTCTGCTTGTAGATTATTACCGTGTCCTAATTTATTAAGTATTTATGCTTTACTAGAGATCTGAAATCTCATATTCACAAGTCCAAAATCCAAAAAGCTCTGAAAACTGAATGTTTAACTTCAAGTTAGTTTGGCAGGAGAACTGGAAATTAGCTGATTTGAGGCAACTTAAAGTCTCTATTTATCCCACTTTCTATAAATATTTACTGCTTTGCTACAGAAATGTTCATGTGTTTGACTAGGTTGCACTGTTCCAGACTCTGCTTGAGGACTTCCATATTTTATGATGTATAAACCAACCAGCCATTCCAAAACGTATTTTTCTATTCTTAAAGTCAATATTTAAAATTCTAAATAACAATCATCATGCAATTTTTCATTAACAAGCATTTTTTTATTTGAAATTTAGACCAAAGAAATTATAGTCCTAAAAATAAGGCCTGAGACATCAGGATAAGGTTAGCATCCAATCTAAAGCACACACCTGCATAATGCAGGTAAGTATTGAATTCATATTATGTAAAGTCATCTACTGTTTTGGAATCCCCTGTGAGATGTTAGTATAATAAAGTGGAAAGCTAGAATTTCAGCTGTTATTATAAAATTTCAGTTTTCTAATCCAGGCTATTTAACCTAACTCCTTAAGGAGGCAAATTTTCAAAGAGTTTAATAAAATTTTATATTAAATATACCACACAAAATAAAGTTGCAGTGCAGATTTGTCCAATGACTCAAATTCCTATATCCTATTGCTTTGAATTATAATTGCACTAGTAAATTCCATGGGACATGTTGGAGTGAATAATGGAATAAAACTTATATTTATATAGCTTTGCACTCCTAATGATGCTCACAAATATTCACAAGGTAAGCTCAGTTACCTCAAAGAGCAATCCTAGGGAGGTGTGAAATATTAATATCCCTAATTTAAGAATAAGAAATTGGGTGATGACAGCTAGGCGGTAACAGATGTCTGTCTTCTAAAGCTCATTATAAATCTTTGTTCAATGTCCATACCACCTACATAATGACATCCTACAGTTCTGTACTTAGAGACTAGTTCATAGCTAGTATATTTACACAATGTTTTTCAGCAATCAAGGATTTGATCAACAATAGTTAATTAGCATCTAACACAAAGAATGCTTGATCCAAAGAAATCTTTCAATAAATACTAAATGAAAGACTATATGAATGGATCAAAATCTGGCTCTGTTTACTAAGTATCATCCTGCTGCATTACCCGATGACAAAAGACATGATAATCTCTTTAACTCTCATTTGTTTGGCACATATTTGTCTAATCCTTACAACCTTACTTATGTTTGTAAGTTTCTATAACTTGCCCAAGAGCCCACAATATATAATTGGGAGAGAATAGATTTCATTCCACAGCCAAGATTTCAATTCCTCATCCCTCAACAACACAACACTGTATTTATTTGTTATTTTCTGGATGTGGTTTTGTTTGTTTTATCTCATTATTACTCAGCAAAGTTGATCTTTCAATGCTTTCATTCTTCTCTGTGATGCTTCTACTTAAGAGGATGCCATACTTTCTGGAATCTGCTCATTATTCTAGAACTCGGTGCCTCCAATATTTATCTGGGTAAATACTGTATTATATTCACTTATTTAATATTGATTCCATTTCTTATCTGAGGAGTTTTTACGACTAAACAAGTGATTGTATTCATAGCTTGAATTAATATTATATAACATCTATATTAATATGCAAGCTCATTCTTTTACTACAACCTTATTTTAAAATAATTGTAACTCACCAGCTGGATCCCTCCATTCTCCAACTTTTTCTCCACCAGACCTACCAGCAGAATAACTTTCTCAAACAGGTTGAAAAAGAACATACAGCCACATTTTATATCCCTTAAGTGTAAGCTTTTTGTAAGAGATATCCTTGCCTTGTTCATATCTGATGATTTGAGTAAAAATTAAGCATTATTTCACCATATATTACATGTGCTACAACCCACTGCTGTTATAAATGTCTTGGAAAGCTTAAAAGCAAGTAAACAAGAAAAAAAAATCAGAAAAATATATACATCTTTTGTTTTTTATGCATATTGTGTTAAATATTTGGTCCTTTCAATCTGCATTTTAATTTGTATATTATATCAACTAAATACCATGAGCTTCCTTAATCACCTTTATTATCATTTCTAATAAAATCTGTATTACCAGATTAAAAGATGTAAGACTCCATAAAATCATAATTACATTCCTCTTTGGTAGTAGAAAAGACTCTCTTAATTACTAGACAAACAGAAAACAAATGGAAAAACAAAAAGGAAGGCAAGAGGGTTAGCTCATCGAAAGAAGACCCAGATTTGTCAAAGGGGATAGAATGACACATGTTAAAACATACTGAGGTCAGGAGGTGACCCTTTTCTCTAGTGAAGACCATTCCTTTTTCTCTTACCATAGATACCATTTCTCTCATGTGAAGTGAAAAAGAGAGTTTGGGAATAAACTTAA